CCCAGGTATTCAAAAGTTGGTCCCACGGTATGACCAATGTCTCAATTCCGGTGGCGAATATGTTGAAAAATAGCTGGACACTTGCTGTATCTGTTGCAATAAATATTTCCATGAAATTGTGTTTTGTTTCTGTAAACGGCCCCAGGGAAACTTACTTTGAGGACGCGCCTCGTACTAGCTCAGTAGAGGGCAACTGATCATCTGCTGGAGAAAGTTATTGTAATCACAATGTAACGATCTCTGGCATCACCAGTGTGCATCATAACGTGCCCCAGCTTGAACAGAAATGCATTGCTGTTATTGCCAGCTCTTCATTTGAATTTCAAATGTGAATCACGCAATCACGAGCTCATACCAGCCACAGTACATTCCAGCAGACTAGGTGCAGAAAGAATCGTTAGGTTATTTAGTGGAAGATGCTTGAATGTTGACCAATGCTGCTTTGAAGTGGAGTGCTAAGCACTGATTTGAGGGATCATCAAATTGGTAACGCACACATACCTGTAATGTGTATTACACCCAGAAGATCCAACACACGCAGCTCACTGCAATGAGTGACTAGAATCATGATGCCGGCATCTGTTACCTCCCAGCACCAACAGAGTGACAGATTTCTTAATTGTACACACCTGTAAGGACAAACAAAACTTCACAAAAAGTGTATCCAATGAAGGACTCTTACTTTTCGAACGAGTTCTTTGTATGTTTGTATGTTCATTTACTGCAGATATAAATTTACTGTTGTGAAGATAATTACACTGAATACAGCCATAAATGTGTTTTATTTTTATAGTGAAATATCTCTAGTATGAATTATATGGGGCAGATGGGCAGTTTTAATTTGGCACTAATGTGGACAACAGACAAAAAAAAATATTATTATTATTATTATCCCATCTCTTCACCACTCATCGTCAAGAAGTTTTAGATTTAAAATTCTTAGTGCTGCTCAAATAAAAATGTACCTGATAACAGCAAGATCTGTTTTAATAAGAATAAAAAATTGGACAGTAATAAAGATGGAGAATTTTTCAAATAAAATACTGACGGGAATATCTGAACCTAAGACAGGCAAAATAACAAACTGCTAAATATTATAAATAAGGACCTTCATATTTATAATCTTTACAATCAAATATCATAGAGGAGATTAAATAAGGAAGGATAAAACATACACAACATATGGCAATAAGATCACATATGAAACCTCAGAGAGACAAATGTGAAGAAGGAAAAATAATTTCAAAATTAATGTTAAATAAGTTAATGAAGACACGAACTGGTAATATACGAGGCGCGTCCTCAAAGTAAGTTTCCCACTCGTCCCACAGCTAGCAAACCTTATATTGCGCGAAGCGACTGTGCGTACGTGATAGAGCAATGACGTAGCATGGCGCATGCACTAACGG